TACTACTACTACTATGGGTACTAGTACTTGCAGCAGCAGCTGCGGCAGGAGTAGTAGTAGCAGTAGCAGTAGCAGCAGTAGCAGTAGCAGTAGCAGTAGCAGTAGCAGTAGCAGTAGCAGTAGCAGTAGCTCAGCAGCAGCAGCAGCAGCAGCAGCAGCAGCAGCAGCAGCAGCAGCAGCAGTAGCAGTAGCATTGCAGTAACAGCAGCAGTAGCAGTGGCAGTAGCCGAGGCACTGGAATAGCAGCAGCAGTGGCAGTAGCAAAGCAGTAGCAGTAGTCGCCCGTCATCGTCATCGTCGTCGTCGTCGTAGTGGTAGTGATACTGGTAGAGATTAGCAGGCGTAGTAGTAGTCGTCGTCGTGGTAGTAGCAGCAGCAGTAGCAGTTGTAGCAATGCTTGTCAGTGGTGGCAGCAGTACTTGTCGTCGCAGTAGTAGCAGTACGAAAAGGAAACCTTGAAACCCCACACCTTAGACCAGAAGCCGTAAGCCCCCAAACCCCAAAGAGCCTCGAGGCTAGACTAAACCCCGAAACCCTTCCTCTGTGTTGCCTCTGACGCTGATCCAGAATTCGGTCGGAGGGCCGACACAAGCTAGACAGATGCAATATAGGGGTTTTAAAAATTGGGCTACGGTTTTGAGGTACATCATGCTGTACGAATAACTGCCTATAGTATTCTTGAGACATTTGATTGAGGTGGTGGAGGGTTTTACTGCTTTGAAGCTTCAAGGCACAATCTTCGGGGTTTGGCTTGAGAGACTGTAGAGCTGGATAAAGACCCCTCAAGACTTAGAATACGGTTTTGGGTATATTATTACGCCTACTGAAAAATCCTGGAAAATATTAAACCCTAAACCCTAAACCCTATGATAATTGTTCTGCTTGGAGATTCGGAGTGGTGAAACTTTCGGGAACTAGCACAAAACTCTGCTCCGAAAGTCGGTTGCACATTTATATACGGTTTAGGGTTTAGGATTTAGGGTTTACCCTGAACCCTAAACCCTAAACCGAACAACACCTATGATGTAAACTCAAGAACCCTGAGCCGCAAGAGCCAGGCCCTGCCCGAGACTCGAAATCGAAGATCAAGATTTCAAACAGAATTGAAGCCAAAGACTGAAGATGCAGACTCCCGAAACCCGAAAAAGCCACCCTAAACCCTAAACCCTAAACCCTAAACCCTAAACCCTAAACCCTAAATCCACGAAACCTCGGAAAAAAAACTTAAGCCGAGCTTCTCTTGGAAGGTGATTTCCTACGTCCATGGCGTCTTCAGCCACAGCGGATCCCAGCGCCAGAGCCTGTCCGCACTGCACCTGCCGGCTTAGGGTTTAGGGTTTA